AAAGGACCGATTGTCCGTTATCAGCCGTTACTGCCGTTGAAGGATAATCAAATTTTCAAACTAAAACATCTTTTAGACTTTCTTCTGTTAGTATTAGAGTCTGAAGGACCTGTTTTTTTGAAACATTGTCAGATTATCTTTGAATGGAAAAAAGTAAAGGGATACGACTGGATTCTGTTGGGATGAAGTAAATTAGTCAAACCGAAGTACATTTTTTGTGTCCCCAGTTCATTTCCTAGGTTTCACATTAGAAACCCAGACATCAATGATCATTTCATGTTTACAGTCTGTAGTAAAAAAAAAAAAAAAAAAAAATGTGTCCGTGACATTGACACTCACCAGTCGCGTGGCCTGGTCTCTCTGGACGTGGCTGACCCTGGTGAAGAAGGCCAGTGCTGGCAGCCAATAATGGCTGAGCAGACAGATGATCACGACTGTGATGAGGCTCATCACCAGGACGATTGTTATTATCTGAACTAACTCCAGTTCAGCTGCGCACACACAGACAGAGAAAAAGGCACATTCAGGTCAGAAAGGTTACGGTTTGAACACCAACCAACACATAGTTAGCGCCTGTTCATTAGCGGTTTTTAGGTGACCGTCGGATTGGGTCCTAATCAGGCGGGCCGGACCAGTACAATCGTAACATAGTTCCCTATAAAACACAAAAAGTCCGTCTTTGTTCCCTTCGTTTTTATACCAAGAAGTACATTCGACAAATCGTCCTATTTAATGAAATCTAATTTTAGCAAACATTTCCCGAACATGAATTGTTTGTGTATCGTTTTTATGTTTCAAAATTCGTCAAGCGGGCCACAATTGAATCCTCATGCGGACCGGTTTTGGCCCCCGGGCCCTATGTTCGACACCCCTGATGTAGACTATGTGTAATTTATAAGGCCAGTCTGACATATCTGATAGAGTAACATTCCTCGAAAACATTTAAACAGTCCCTTCCACTACGAAAAGACTTTGAGTTTTGTTGATTCAACAACAATCACGAATCTTCTAATACATTTTAAATATTGCAGCAAATAACTGCTTGGTGTAACACGTATGTTTATTTTGCTTGGAATATTACTAAAAATGGTGAAACTGGCCCTTTTCTTTCTATTCATTTGATTTAATGATTATAAAAAAGATACGCTTTTTTTAAATTAAAGATTAGTCTCCCTCTGAATACTTTGGTCAGGGAGCCTGGACGTAAATTAAACAATGGAGGACGAGTGAATAAAGGAAGGAATATTATTGGATTATCGGGATCAGGGGGGTTGCCCTAATGTAATAAAGTCTTTTAAAGATAAATGAACTTTTTTGCAATATATATATACGCACAAACACATATTTCTGACGAGAGTAAAAATAAATTTGTGGGGCCCCCCCGTTGCAGCTGGGCTCCTGAAGGTCATTAAAATGTTCTTTATTACTTTTATTGCAATCATGAATATCATTAGGGTAAACATAATGAATGCAAATGTATTTCAAATGCATCTCGATTTTTAGTGCCTATTTTGCATCTATATTTACAACCACTGGCTTCTGACTTTATTTTGCGTGTTTTCTATAACTCGTCGGCATAGAATGTAAGCGATAGGAACACGAAATTTGTTTCACTATTTCACTGCACTTTATATGACAAATGTATATATATATGTATACATACTTATATGTATAAATATATGTATGAACATTAATGTAGGTATCTATGTGTATGTCTATATATTGTTTATATATGCTTATGTGTATATACTGTATACATATGCATCTACATACCTATAATGACAAATATATATTTATATGTATCTATGAATGTGTAAATATATGTGCGTGTATGTGTATATACTGTTTATATATGTATGTGTCTATGTACTGTGTTGTATCTATGAATGTGTAAATATATGTGCGTGTATGTGTATATACTGTTTATATATGTATGTGTCTATGTACTGTGTGTGCATATATACCGATAAATATATATACATATTATATATGTATATGTGTATTTATGTGCGTATGTGCATATACTGTTTATATATGCAAGTTTGTATATACTGCATATGTATGCATGTATATACTAATAAATATATATATTTTTATATATGTATATGTGTATTTATGTATATATGTGTGCGTATGTGCATAAACTTTTTATATATGCATGTTTGTATATACTGTATATGCATGCATATATGTATATATACCTATAAATGTATATATTTTTTATATATATATTTGAATTAGAATGCAATAATCAAATTACACACGCTGTCAGTTTTCAATTTTATCAGCTCGCTAATATTTTGTGAGAGCGCCTACGCTTCCTACTTTCGACGTGCAGATTTTTTTCCGACTAGCGCTACACGTCAGGTTCCACTGTTTACATGTCGTGTCTGGCCAGAAACAGGGACACAATACTGGCTGGAGAGTACGTGTGCATTTTTAATACCCGCTGTGTGAACAAAGAGAAGCGGGGAGAGGTGAGACAAAGACTCAGACACTGCCAGTGACTGACAGGCATTGACCTTCCACCCTTGACCCCGGTGAGCCGCAAGCTGAGACAGCAGTTGGCTATAAATGAGGAGTCTGGTGCATTGCTAATAAACCTGGCGTCTGTGTTTTTGTGTGTGTGTGTGTGTGTCTGTTTTTGTGCGTTGGGGGTGTTCGCCATCTCATCAGCCTCTACAGAACCCCATCGCTAACGCACACTATTGCTAGCTAAACAAATATTCAATATGTGACCATATTAATATATTTACTTTAAGTTACGCATATAAGATTTTTCTTTCTTTTAGAAAGAGTTCCTTCAGTAACTTCACTGCATCGCGACACTTTCGACCATCTGGCTTATGAATGATAAAACAAACGTGAGATCTGAGTGCGACTATTACCTAGCTAAAGATTTTGAACTTACACTTTGAAATGGTTAGCTAACAGTGCCACTGTTAAAACCAATTGTGTATTATTATTGATCGTAATATTACTGTTAAAACCAATTGTGTATTATTATTTTATTGATAGTAATATTATTATTATTATGATTATTATTATTGTTTTTGTTATTATTATTTGAATTTTTTTGTATTTTATTGTTAACCATCATTTTAGATTTTTTTTTTTTTTACTTCATTTTTTTACTATACAAGTTCAGTGAAAATGCACATAAATACTATGTGTCCACAGCGGGGACGTTTCTCCGTAGAGTGTCACAGCTTTAAAATGTATTCGCGGGCAATCAATATGAGTGAAGTTTTGGCCTGACTTGTTTAGTTTTCTCTACTGACATACAGTATTTTTTTGCCTGTGTTTATTTTTTGTAAATATCTAAAAAAAATCAAATTGAAAAAACCAAATATAAAAGCAGCGCAATAGCTCAATACCACAATCTTCTTCATGTCTCCTTCTAATCTCTGAAATTTCAAAGTATTTACATGTGCAATAAGGTACAGATATTTATCAGCGTAGTAATACTCCTACAGATACAACAACATTTGAGCCCACTTTTACAATTTTTTTGTTGTGTAGTACTTCTACCTGTATCCCAATTTAGACTGAAACCGACCAGTACTTTCTTAGATGAATACTTATTATTTATAAAAATATTTTTGTTTTTTTTTAAGACAAATGCTCCACTTAGTGCGAATGACAGGTAACGGTAGAAAATACCAGCTGTCCAAATGTTCAGTTTTGACTCAATGTTGCACCTGCAGTACCTGACCCTGTGCCAGACACACACGCACAGACCTAAATTTCCAGCCAACATCACATCAATCTCTATTTCCATGCATGAAAAAAAAACACATTCTCACAAAAAAAAGTAACACACTCCTGCAATTGACTCACTCTAGCAGCCTAATAAATAAATAAATAACGGATCAGAAATGTTCCTCACACTTACATATGTCCATGCCCTGGTCCTGCGCCCTGATGCAGCTGCAGCAGTAAAAACCATTTGACCTTGAGTTGCTGGAGCTTCCCGGGACCGAGAGAGAAACATCGACGGGGTGCAGCTCCGCCTGCTGCGGCTGGGAAAAAAAAACAAATGAACAGCGAGGACGGAGAGGAGCGGACGTTGCAGCCGCCGTTCAGCGGCCAACACAGCGGACGAGCAGGTTACATGAGGGACAGGGAGCTCCGTGTGATACATGGACCGTCTGCATCCACACACGCTCTGTGGTGTGTCTGCTGTGTTCCTGCCCCCCCCCTCCTCGGTCTGTCTGTGTTCGTCTGTGGACGTAGGGGGAGGGAGCCGGGAACAATGGTCAGTCAGAGTCAGCCAGACAACTCATCAGACTGATCAGATTATTACCCTGCTGCCGCGTCCGCGTTGGTACACGCAGCACAGCGCTGCTGTCCATCAAACTGAGCAACTGGCTGCTTTGAAAAAAAAAAACATTTGTGCAGAAGCAACCATTCCATGTGATGTATTTTTTAATATTATTTGCAGCATATATTTAACCGTTTGCAGTATTTTTTTTCTTTTCGAGTAGACAAGGAGGAGGGCTTGTCTGAAAATAACTATTTAACGTGCAAATGCAAGGCAGGAGTATTTTCTATTAGACTCTAAATCTCTGTAATTTACAATATATATAATATATATAATACTCTCATTTTGTAATATATATAAAGATTTCTGCGTTGTAATTTTTAGATATTAATTAAATATATATATTATAAATTTATAAATATTATCTATCTATCTATCTATCTATCTATCTATCTATCCATCTATCTATCTATCTATCTATCTATCTATCTATCTATCTATCTAATTAGTCCATAATAAAGCAAACTTTAAATGTTTCGTTTTAAACAACCCACTTTCAGTACTCACACAGTCCTCAAGAGGGCGCAGCCCGCACTTGAATCAGAATTGATTACATAAGAGCTTACTGCAAGTTTTTCTTTTCAGCTGACCTACACACTCCAGTCCACCAGTTGGCAGTGTACGCTCAATAGTGTTAACCGCCCAAAATAGAGGAAGTTATAGGGTTTGATGAAAACAAGATCAGCCATCTTAGTGAGGTCGAACTCAGAAGCGCTAGGGTAATGTTTTTTTTTTCAACTTGTACTTTTAAACAACCCGTGCTGTACGATGCTTGCAGTGTAATTGAAGGCAGCGACAGAAACAGGACGTGACTGTGGCTGACTTCAGTGTTTATTAGCGACGCTACTTATCTTACTCTGCGTCACATATGTACGTCAGTGACCGTGAAAGGCAAACGTAATTTTTTTTTCTTTCTCTACGTCAGTCGTGGTCAGTCCTGCCGAAGCAATTTTCACACTGTATATTAGTTAAACACACACACACGCAAGCGTAAACATAGTTAATATAGTAACTAGAATAGTGAATGATTAAAATGTTGTTACGTGTGTGTAAAGGCCAACTTTTTTTCTCTGCAAACGGACGGTGTACATTTAACTACACGCAGCCATGTAAGATATTTCTGGCGTGTTTCGTTTTTTTTTTTTTAATTAATTTTCCAACTTAATATTAATGTTAGTTGTATTTTCAGTAGTTTAACCGTGGTTATTGCTTATTCTTACTCTTTTACGTCCTACGTGTAAGTGTAATTATGCCATTTTCAATATTCTAACACCTTATTTTGTTCGGTTAAAACGAACTGACCCTAATCCTACCCTAGGCCTTAGAGAGTTAAAACAGATACTTCACTAAACGTATAAAAAATAGTTTATTAAAGTTTACTTTTTTCAAAGGTGAAATTGTGTTACAGATGTTTGATAATTAAGTGTGGGTCCAAATGTACAGTGAAAAGTTCCCTTTTTGGATATGTTTTAAAATATAATTCACAATTCAGACTTTTTTTCTTTTTTTCCCCATCAACTTGTAAACAGTAAAGAATGCTAAGAAGCTACCTTACTTGTGGAAAACCTGAAAGAAATGTTTGGCATCTATGCCTCGCATACAAGTGTGTTCTTGTCAGCTGTATTTCCTCTCTTGCTGTGTCACTTTCAGATGCCAAGGCATTGCTCAGCAGGCGGCTGTAAATCTCGAGACAACCGTGAAACCAGAAATGCTGGAGTCACCTTTCACAAGTGAGCATTTGGAGATTACGGGGGACTGTGCATATTCAATATAAAAAATATTTCTTTCTATCTATCTATCTAGTTAGCTAGCTAGCTATTTATCTATCTATCTATCTTTCTATCTATCTATCTATCTATCTATCTATCTATCTATCTATCTATCTATCTATCTATCTTTCTATCTATCTATCTATATATCTATCTATCTATTTTTTGGGGATTTACAGTACACAATTATGAAAAATATCACAGACTGAATGAGTATTTTTATCATAGGGCGCTTAAAAGAATGACAAAGACAAACATTATTGAGAAATGTGCCCCCCAAAAAATCTTATTTTCAGTTGCTTTACTTAGCTTGTTCATTAACACTTTGTTGTCTCTGGCGTTGTTAGCTGAAGAGCAGTTGCGGCGTTACCCTTGTTTTCTTACTTTGCCGTTTATAAATCTTGTGTGTTGAAATGTAAATATTACACAGCAATGTGTTATTTCTGAGTTCATATAAGCCACAAGTGTCAAACTCAAGGCAAGTCATTTTCTATGGCCTGCAGTTTTTTTTATTACACAGCAATGAACAGTATTTGTAACCTGAATAAATAATAATCAATTGCAGTAACATTTATTAATACATTATGGAGTAGTTACATCTATACAGTCTTTAAGTCCCAACCGGCCCTTTAAGGGAACTGTATTGCTGATGTGGCCCCCTGGTGAAAATGAGTTTGACACCACTGATATAAGCAGTCATGATGCTCCTGTTTCCATTAGGTGCTTTTTTATGAAGTCATGGCTTCCATTTAAAAAGGAGCTGTACTGGGATGGGATGTAAAGTAAGAGATTGACCGTAGGCTTAAATCTGGTCTGTCCCATTGACTTGGGCGAGGTAATGTTGGTCATAAGTCAGAGTCAGAAGTGAGTAAGGGAACTGGAGACATTTTACTGCCTGTACAAACACTCAACTTCTCTTTTACGATGACCACAAGCACAGAGCGACACATGACGTGTGAGGAAGCAGGTTGTGTTTTTACTTTTTATTTTAAGCACATTCAACGTTTAAAAGTCTCACAAATCCTAGTCATGCTCCCTATTGCAAAGTGGGATTACTTCTTTGTCTGCGTTGGAGATATTTTTCATCCTGCGGATAGTACCTTCAACAACACTGTAATTTGTGTTTAAAACAGCATTCTTATAATAAAAGTTGGATTGGAGTGAAATGAGTAAAAATGGGGTTTTATGTATTTCAGTGTATGAATGAATAAATTATAACATTACCCCAATGAGGGTGAAACAGTGATTACACAAAATCTCAATCCCATTTACTTCTATTAATACTAATGAATTAAGGTTATTGTCAGTTTGTGTTTTTAATTTCAAATGTAGGTCGAACACTACGTCTAATCCCCGGCCCTCTCACTGCGAACTGATTGTGAAAGACAGACATACTGCAGTAGATATGACTCATGATGAGTAATGTTGAGTCATTTTCATTCTCAGATTACCAAAAGGAGCCACAAGGAGGAACCTCTGGATCACAAACTCCCACCGCTCCAACTCCTGGGACCCTCAGACTGACTTTGTGTACTTCTGTTCCAAGCACTTCACACCTGAGAGTTTTGAGCTGACCAACTACAGGTCTGTAGACTGACGTAGGACCTGAAGAGGTTACATATACAACAGAAGAAAAAAAAAGTATCTCAGGCTTATCTCATCCACTGGTGACAGCAGCCTGAGGTGTGTTTCTGTCATTGTGTTTGTGTTTCTACACCTACAGTGGGATCAGAAGGCTAAAGGACGATGCCTTGCCAACTGTTTTCCATTCATCGACAACAAAAGAACACAAACCGGCTGACGCGTTGCATAAACAAGAGGATGTGCCTGTCAGGTAAAAACAAGCTTCTCTGTAAACTCCTCTGTTATAGGTCAGGAGTAGCTTTGGAGGGAACCATCTTTGCCCTTCGATTATAAAAGCTTGTTATACGATACTGACATATCATTCACATTATTGTTTGGATTTAAATGGCAGCGCAGACACCAAGTCTACAGGAGATGTGTATGGACACACGTCTTGAGCTGCAGTACAATGGCCGTGTAAAGTTACATGACACGTATTTTTAAAATGTTTTTGTTTTGTTGTTAACGTTGAAAAAAAAAATGCATTCCGTATTTTCCGGATTATAAACCGCACTTTTTTTTGCATCCGTTGACTGGGTTTGCGACTTATGCTCAAGTGCGACTTGAAATATATAATTTCACGTTTGTTATTTTCACACTGACAGCCGCTAGAGGGCACTCTAGGCTTGTGTACCAGTATCTGCTACTCCTGTACCACTGAAAATGTACATGTTCATTAGTTTCACACTGACAGTCACTAGAGGGCGCTGGTGTGACTTATATATGTTTTTTTTCTTCTTCGTTGTGTATTTTTTTCGGAGCAACTTAAAGACCGGAAAATACCGTAATTCAACTGGCTCCATGCCATTTACACATTGATAATGTGTTGTCTTAGTGTTCTAATGATTTCATAGGTAAACAGTAAAATTAGTTAGAAGATTTCAAAAAGGAAATGTGAGTCTAAAAATATTCTTTAACTTGTTTTTTGCAAGAATATAACAGCTACTGGTATTCATGTGAATCCAAACTCATCGATATGAACTTAACATCTTTAAACATCTCTCTTAATGTGTGAAATTCAAACAAAAATGACATATTTACATGTTATATTTCACCTTTACTTTGTTCACTATCCATTCTACCAGTGGCTAATTCCCAGTTTTTCACGTCAACACCGATTATTTTCCTCTTAGTTTCTGCTCCAGCAACCAGGATCAAGACAAGGTTCAGCATTCAGAGGAAAGCAGCCTTCAGTGGTCAGTGCCAACATCTGAGAAGACCCCAGATACCAAGACCACATTCCCTGAACAGGCAACGGTCCAGCAAAAGCTCGCACAGCAAGAACATGCTCCTTCCCCACCACCAGAATCTCAACCTCCCTCCCCATCACGGTACATGAGACGCCTGCCCCCTCCTCCAGGCTTCTACCTGTCGAAGGAGCACAACTACGCCCAGCTCTGCCCCCTGCTGTGGAGGAGACGATATGACCAGATTGTTGACTGCCTCGAAAAGGCGTTGCGCCAACTGCACGCAACCAGGCGGAGGGAGAACCGTCTAAGGAGCACCGTGCTAAGGCTCCGTGACAAACAGCTCAGGCACACTCTGTCACAGGATGGATCAAAGAGTAACGGGAGCTGGGCACCAGGAGGTGGGAGTAGAGGGGGGAAAGGAAGTTCTTACCAGGAGGACAGTGAGACCGAGGTTAAATCTGACGATGTAAGCTTGTTTGAGGAGAGATGTGTGGATCAGGTGGATTCGAAGAGCAGCGCGAACAGGTTGTCGAATGAGGAAAATAGATACTGCTTTTACTGCGGAAGAGGGCGTGTCAAGACTGCAGGCCAGGAGGCACAGAGACTCTCAAGGACGTACAAAGATGGCTGGCAAGCAGAACACGAGAGAAATCAATTAACAGGGACAGATAATGCAGTAGTCACACAAGGAAATCAACTGGAAAATAGCAGAAACATTTCAGACACTAAAAGTGCAGATTCCGCCGCCGCGGTCCAAAGTCCAAACCCCCAACAGTTGACTCCTGCTGGAATGCTTCTATCTACTACTTACAAACAGGGAGTCCAGTGTGTAGGATTTCAGAAGTTGCGAGTCTCTGAGATGTGTGAAGAGCAGTCTGGAGCGGTGAGCCTCAAAGACCACCCCTACCTGCAGCAGCAGCAGCTTCTCTGGGTACAGCAGGAGAGCAGCGAGGAACAGGTCGTTCTGCTGCCTGTTTCGGTCGAAGTCGATCTTCAGAACTTTCATGCTGCTGACTCACGAGCAGTTTCGGTTTCGGAAGTGGATCCTTCCGAAGGCAGCGGAGACATCGAGGACATGAGCAGCAGAGCTTCGCCTGCGGCGGAGACGTCACGTGTGGCTGAACAGCCGCACAGCGGCGCAGCTGTGCAAAGGAGAGAAGACGTTAGGGAGAAACTGAAAGAACATCTGGAGGGCTTTCACCTTCAGCTGAGCAGTGAGTTCATAAACTAAATGTATGAACACAGTAGCCTGCCAGCACACAGTCACATGAAGGATCTTCAAACACATCCCAGCAGCATTAGTCGACTCAACTCCTCCAGCCAGTTTTTAATGTTTTTGAAGTTAGTGTTGTGTTTTTGAGGTTTATATAGTAACTGATTCAATTGTTGTTTTTTTTTAACCTTAACATATTTACATTCT